ACTATATAAATTCAACGCAATCCTGATGCATATTTTAACATCAATTTTCAAAGCAATGGAAAAAAATGACTACCAACTTCATATGGAAAGGGAAGAAGCCCAGGATTGGCACAGAAATCCTCAAGAAAATGAACAAAGTAGGTGCGTTTGCATCACATCACTTCAAAACTTATAGTACAGCCACAGTTGTCAAAACAACATGGTTCTGGTATAATGATAGATACTCAGACTAGTGGATAAGACCAGAAAATCCAGAAATAAAAACAGCTGCATATAGACAACTAATCTTTGACAAAGGACCAAAGAATATCAAATAGAAAGCAGATGCCCTTTTCAACAAATGGTGTGGAAATAACTGGATTTCAGTCTGCATATGAATGAAACAAGACTCTTAACTCACTCAGTGTACAAGAACAAATTCAAGGTGGATCACACACCTTGAGGTAAAACCCAAAACTATCACGATCATCAGTTAGACAATTGGAACAAAGCTAAGAACCTTAGCACAGGGAATACATGGGCTATCAGAAATTAGGAAGGCTACACACTTTCAGGAAGATAAAATGCGTGGGACATTCTAAAGATACACTTGTGTGCATCGAAAGACTTAAAGAGAGTAGGTAATAAGAGAGCCCACAGACTGGTAAAAGATATTGAATAATGACATAGCAGACAAAAGGCTTATTACTAAAATCTACTGAATCCTGCAAGCTTACAAGAAAAAAATGAATAGCCCACTGAGGAGGTGGGTAAAAGACTTGAACAGAAGATTCACAAAGGATAAAACCTGAATGGCCAATAAACATGAGAAAATGTTTCTGATCATTAGCCATCCAGGGAATGCAAATCAAAACAATTATGAGATACTACCCAACACCCAGAAAGATAGGCCAATTAAAAAACAAACCAGAAAGCAAAACAAAATTAAAAAACAAAACCAGAAAGCAAAACAAAACAAAAACCAGAAAGTAACAAATGTTTGAGGGGTGTGTGGTGAGATAGGAACTCTCCTTCACGGCTGGTGGTCTTGTAGATACCTACAGTCACTGTGGAAAGTGATTTTACAATACCCCAAATAGATGGAAATTGAGTTACCATATGACCCAGCAATCCCTCTATGTCATGATTACCGTTAGACTGGTGGCTATCTGCATGTTGTTGCTTTTTTTTTTTTTTTAAGTTATTTTTTATCCTCTATTTCTTTTATTAGTTTTTGTGTTTTGGTGTTTATCTATACAAGAAATGCTGGATATGTAGTCTTACAGAGACATTGGGCAGACACGTTTCTGGAGGGTGTGGGAGGGGAGTAGGGTGGGAGAGGAAAGGTAAGCAGGGAGCTAACAATGACAGGTACATAAAGGGAATAGTAAGTGTTCTGAAATGTACCACGAGGAGGGTGTAGCTTTTCTGGTCATGTTTGATCAATCGAATTGTATCTGAGAGGAATTACTGAGAGGTGAACAACAAGCAAACATAATTGTGGGGTCGGATGAAAAAACAAACACATATCAATATATATGCATATATGTATTTGTGAATATGTGTGTATTTGTTTACATATGTGTAATATGTAAATGCAACAAGGAACCAGATAGACTTTGGGCCTCTATTTACATCTTACCCCAGTATAAGAATGGTTTGTTCTAATAATATGGCACTGTATGATACCCATCTTCCTGTCACAGTTGCTGAAGACAAAATGGGTGCATAAGCAAATATGGTGAAGAAAGCTGATGGTGCCCAGCTACCAAAAATATAGCATTTGGGGTCTTACAGGCTTGTAGTTAAACAAGCGGCCATCTAGCAGGGAAGCAACAAAGCCCACATGGAAGAAGTGCTCCAGTCTGCGTGATCATTAGGTGTCATGGGAAGAGGTATCAGAATTAAAAAAAACATGTAGTCAAATTGATATGAAGGGGAGTGGATGTAGTGGAGACCCCAAGCCCACCAGCAAGGCAATTGGACAGTCCCTCTTAGAAGGGCCTCATGGAATGGAGGATAAATCCAGGGTGCGGTATGGCACTGATGAACTGCGTAACTATTGTCTAGTTCTCTAATATTTCCTCCCCTTATTATTAAGATACTTATTTGATATACCCCATTAATCATGTTAGATTTATGTACATACATTTGTATATTCAAGATTGATTGGTATGTGGTAGTCAAGATCAGTGACCCCTCACAGACAGTGACAGGAGTAAGGGTACCCTGTGGGTACTGGAAGTGGGGGTGGGGTGGGGTGGGGTTGGGTTGGGGTAGGGGGTGGTGGGTGGGTGGAGGAATGCGGGGAGAGAAGAGTTGAGAGCATTGATGATTGTTTAACCCCACCAATGGGATTGAACAACAGAACTGAACTGTGTGGGAAGGGAAGGGATATATTGGAATGAGTAAGATATATCAATTAAAACATTATTTGATTTTAAAAAAGTATAAAGAACAGGAAATTTTTCTTTCACAATTTTGGGATTACAATTCAGGGTTTCATTGCTATAGCAGAATCTTTCCCTTTTGGTAGCCCTTGTAGGTCCCTGGAATTCTTTGGCATCTTCCCTCGGTGTGTGTGTGTCTTTTCTATTCTTCTATAGCTCAAAAATTAGGTTCAGGACACATTCTACAATAACAAAAGCAACAAACAAAAACCCACTTCCAAACGAGATCATATTTGCAGATACCTATTAGAAAGCACATTGCCTTTGAGTTGATTTTGACTCGAGGTGACCCCATGTGTTCAAGGTTATGAGCCCTTTATTTTTTTTTTGCCTGCTGTCTTTAAGGAAGCATATCATCAGGTTCTTCCCTAGTGCACCTAGGTGGGTTCACATCACCAGCCTTGTGATTAGTTGGTGAGTGCAAACCAGTTGTGCAACTCATGGATTTATTTTCAGGTACACAGTTATAATTTTGTGAGGTGTAGAATTACTTTGAATTGAGACTTTCGGTCTTGGTTCCAGAGATCTTGTCTAATACCCTATGCTAGAGGTCTGACTAGCTGCAAGAGGAACCAGTTGGGGCCAGATGCTGACTAAGCCTTATAAGCCCTCGTATAATCTGTCATGGCAATGGGTGAAGTCAGTAATGGAAGTTGGAGCTTCCTGGTTTGTGAAAATGCACAGGAGAGGATAGTGCATCCATCTTTGGGAATGAAAGTTAAGTGGTATGATCCCTCACAGAAATACCTGTAGGTATTTCTTCATTTGTGTCCTTTGTTAGATTAAAGTTGTTGCAGGTATGGTGTGTCTTGTGAGCTCTATTCTCGCAAATTATTAGATGCAAGGGAGTCAGCCAGTCTGAGGCATAGGCAGTCACGTGGACTCCCAGACTTGGTGGCTAGTACCTCAAGGAGATAGAGGATAAACCAGACTTGGGGCCTGTGTGTACTCTGACATGGAGAGAGTCATGTGAACTCCCAAGTGTATAGCTGGTACCCCTGACCCACAGTACTGGGTCGCTAGGGATGAGAGTGAGAAGAGTTGTATGGGCACTTCAGATCCTAACTGAACAGGAAAAGGAAGTGGATATTTCCTAAATATGCAGCTAGCTTATGGAATGGAATTTATTTTCCACCACACAGTTTGTTGTCACACATGAATTATTTTAGTCCCTGGCCTGGTTTGAAAAGTTCGCATGATGAACAGCAGTTGTTAGAGGACCCTGACAGTGCAAATTTCAACACATTTTTTGTTTACACAATTTAATCCATAAATAATACTGAAAAGACAAAAGCTGGAAGTCAAACAGGCACATGCACACCAATGTGCTTTGCAGCATTAGTCATTATAGCCAAAAGGTGGGAACAGAACAGGGTACAAAGCCGGTGAAGTGACATCTTTGCTCTTCAACATTTAAGACAGGTCTTATCTAACAAGATTTGCCCAATTTAGTACTTCATTTGATTTCATGACTGCAGTTTCCATGTAAATCCAAGCAAAATTTCATCCTTGACAATCTTTTTTCCTGTTTATCATGATGTTGTCTATTGGTCCAATTTTGAGGATTTTTGTTTTCTTTACATTGAATTATGACTCATAGTGATGGCCACAGTACTAGATCCCCAGCAACAAAAGCTATAAGTCCTCCTCACTTAGAGCAAGGAACCAAGCAAGATTGTATCACCTGTATATCCAGTCCTGATGGTCCAATTCTCTTCAAATAGACCAGCTTCTTAGATTATTTGCTCAACATATAGATTAAATATGTATCATCAAAAGATGTAATACTTATACACACTTTTCCTGATTTCTAAACCACAGAATATAGAAAGGAGATAGAGGTAGATGTAATTAAAGCCGCTCACAGACTTGTCCACTTAAAAATATTATTTTAGACAATGTTTTTGTTTTATATATCTTACCACAAAATTATTTTAAAAGAAACACATATCCCTAAGGTTCTAATATCTCACACTGAATACGTCTTCCAATAGATTTGTCCAGTTTACATTTTCATCATTGGTGGATGAGAGTGTTGTTTGTTTCCTTTTGCCATTGTCAATGCTAGGCTTTATTTGTATTTTGAGTATAAAAAATACTCCAATTTGACAGACAAAGTTTATCTTGTATTCAGTTGCTTTTCTGGAATTTGTAATGAAGTTGGATGTTTTGACATTTCTATTAGCCTTTTCCCTTTCTTTTTTTTTTTTTGCCTTTTCCCTTTCTTTGGGATATATATTTCTTAATTTACATCTAAAGAGATATGATGGTTACTTAGGTAATAAAGAGCCCTTTAATTAAATAATTATTGCACAATTCTTTGTTTAGAAACCAAATCTGTAACACAAGAAAGCCACCAAAAATTCATGGAGAAATTGAATGAAAGATATTGGAATTTTACTGTGAGCCTTTTGAAGACCCCTCATATTTCCAGTTCTTAATGAGTTTAGATTGCTAGGAGGTAAATTTAATTTAAGGTTTCTGATGTACCATTATGTTAGTGGCTGACTAATCTGTCAATCTCAAATATCAGTTAATGTGGTACTAATTCTTTTCATTCTATCTTTTTAGGGAGATCTTGTCTGGAGTACCAAACACAAGAGACCAAATCAAGCCTCTCAAAGACCCTTGAACAAGTCTTGCATGATTCTGTTGTCCTCCCTTATTTCATTCAATTCATGGAACTTCGTAGAATGGAGCATTTGGTTAAATTCTGGTTAGAGGCTGAAATTTTTTACTCTACAACTTGGTCCCGTATAAGAGCACACAGTCTGAATACAGTGAAACAGAGCTCATTGGCCGAACCTGTCTCTCCAAGTAAAAAGTATGAAACTGCAGCATCTGTTGTAATGGAGTCTCTTGACAAGAGATTGGAGGATTCTAGTTCAGCCCAGTTGCTTATGATTCAGTCAGAAAGAATTGACCTGAATAATAGAACTAACAACAGTCAGAATCACTTGTTGCTTTCCCAGGAATGTGATGATGTCCATCCCCTTCATCTTGAAGTGACCAGAGGAACTTATCATATTTCCCTGGAAAACCCAGAAACCAGACTTACAGTAGCCAGTAGAAATAGTCCACTAAAGGAATTATCTGGGAAACTAATGAAAAGTAAGTATGTGACTTTGTTCTCTCTTTGTCCTCCCCACCACCTCCTTTTAATTAATTCATATAGAAGAACTTGATATGATGAATAACAAGATTAGAATAATTCTTTTCCCCCTCAGTACTTGCAAATTTGGGAGTACTGGAGAATGGAGTACAAAAAGGAACAAAAAGGGTATCTAGAGTGATTTGGTAGCAGAATTAATAAATGAAAAAATGTCACCTGCCCTACTCTTCCTTTCTACTGATTTTGAAATGAAATCATTTTTCACATTTTTAAATCAAACCATCTTTCATATTTCAGCTCTGTCTCAATCTCAATCGCCTTTTCTTTTACTCAACTTTTCAGATAAATTCTTTAAATTGTCTTTTAATTCCTAATACTACTCAAATGCTGTCCAGTCAATCCCAACTCAGAGTGGTCCTATATAACAGAGTAGAACTGTCCCAAAGGATTTCCAAGACCATAAGTCTTTATGGAATCAGGCAACCACATCCTTCTTCTGTGGAGTGGGTGATGGCTCGAACCGTCAACCTTTCAATTAGCAGCTGAACACTTAACCACTGTGTCACTGCCAACATTGAGTCAATTCCAACTCATTGGCATCCTACATAAGGTTTCTGAGCTGTAAAGCTTTAAGGTATCTTTCTCCCCTAGAGTGGTTTGTGATTGATTCATGATGCTGACCCTACAGTGCCACCAAGGCTCATTACTGTGCCACCAGAACTCCCTTAATTCCCACCAGGTGACATTTATTGACTTTGTGCTAAGTCATGTGTTATTTTTACCTTAAAGTTTCTGAGTTTTTCATTTCTAAAAATTATTTTTTTCCCTGAATTTTTCACATAACTTTTCATAGTTGCTTATTTCAATCTCTTGATCCCACTTTTAATCTCTTCTTTTATTTTTTAAATTTATTAAACAAGTAATTATTAACTGAAACTTCCAATATACACAGGTTTTGTAGATCTGATACTGGATTTCTTTCTTTCTGCAGACTGATACTCTTAGTGGCTTATGATTTTACCCACTTATAATTTTTTTGTCATATATCTTAGTCAATTTGTGAGAATACTTTGAGGACTGTTTCAATTGGGTTATTCTAGAGTATATTTGGACTTGCTTTTGTCATGTACCCGAGCCACGTAAAATGAATTTTTTTCTTCTATTTTCTGAGAGCCATATGAGGGCAGGTTTGTTATTTGGAATTGTCAAGTGACGTTATTTTCCCTCTGGTATCTGAACACTGTCTCTATCTCTCTCTCTTTCTAAACTTCCTCCCCACCTTTCATATTGAACTCACCACAGTGAGTGATAGTTCCTTTTTGGCTGTAAGCATGGTCTATTCTAATCTGCTCTGTTTTGTCCTTGGGCAACTCTAAGGTCTTCCAGAGCCAGTGGCTTGTTTCTCAGGTGAATTCCCTGTTCTTTTCTTTTACTGGTCTTGATTTTTAACTGAGGGACTTCTATAAGTCCCTCCTTCCATATCTGTAACTCAGAATTCCAGAAAGCTTTACCTATAAAAGCTATTTGGAAAATGAACAAAACTTGACCTGAACTGCTATGAACTTATAGTAGAATATGAATGTATTTTAGTGTAGGTTATTGCTTTGATACTATTGAGGTATATACAAACATAGTGTAATTACTTCTATAAAATACTCCCAAATTGGGTGGCGAAGGGAAAGGAAAAAGAGGAGCTGATACCAAGGGCTCAAGCAGAAATAAAATGTTTTGAAAACAATGATGGCAGCAAATGTACAAAGTACAATTCATGTATGGATTGTTATAACATCTCTGAGAGCCCCCAATAAAATGATGTGTTAATAAAAAAATTTTTTAACTCCAAAATTTTGGATTCCAAAATACTGCTTCATTCAAAGATTGCACACAAGGGAATTACCATGTTTGTTTCTCATTCACACTCACTCATTATCATTGAGTAGATTCTAACTTACAGTGACCCAATAAGAGAGAGTACTAGTGCCCCTGTGGGTTTCTGAAACTGTAACTCCTAATGGGAGTATAAAGCCTTATCTGTGTCCCACAGAATGGTTGATGGTTTCAAACTTTTGACCCTGTAGTTAGCAGCCCGCTGTGTAATTACTACTCCACCATGGCTCTTATGTTTGTTTCTGCCTCAGACTATGTCTCACAAGGTCTCATGTATTTTGGGAATTCAGTATAGAGAAGAGTTTCCTTGAACATGCCATCACCTCTACTTTCAGAAATAGAAGTCTAAAATTTGTGTCTTTAATTTATTGTTTTTGGAATATGTCTTTGCCTTGATGGTAATTTAGTTAAAAATGGAATGAAAATAGTAATTTCACCAAAGCTAAACTCAGTTGCCTTGGAGTCAATTCTGACTCCCAGAACTGGCCCTGCGGGTTTCTGCGAGTGTAAGCTGTTATGGAACTAGAGGGTCTCATCTTTCTTTCATGGAGCAGCTGGTGGACCACCAAGGCTTTTCAAAAATAGCAATAGAATCCTTTAGAAAGTGTTAATGGAGATTTCCCCCCCCCCTTTTCACTAAGTAATCTACAGTTTTACCTACTGAATTTATATACAGTAAATTTAACCTTTTTGTGATGTGTGAGTTTTAACACATGCATAGTTTTGCATAACCACCACAATAATCAGAATAAAGAACAATCCTACATCCCCCTAAACAACCTCTGTGGTCAACCCTATTCTACCCATAAACCTTGCCAATCAGTTCTATTCGTTATAATTTTGCCTACGCCAGAGTACTATATAAACAGATTTATATAGGATGTAACCTTCTGAAGCGAGTATCTTTCACTCAACATAGTGACTTTGAAATTCATCTTTGTTGTTTGTTCATTACCTCTTATTGGGAAAGAATATTCCATTTTATGTATGTACCATAGTTTATCTCCACCTATAGAAGTACATTTGGCTTGTATCTAGATATTGATTATGAGTGTTGTTTTTAGGTGCCATTCAGTCAGTTCCAATTTATAGTGACTTCATGTACAACAGAACCATAATCTGCATAGTACTGCGCCATCTTCATGATCCTTGATGTGTTTGAGCCCATTTTTGCAGCTTAATTAGGATCTTCCTCTTTTTCAGTGATCTTTTATCAAACATGGCATCCTTTCTAGGGACTGATTCATCCTAATAGCATAGCCAAAGTACATGAGATGGTCTCATAATCAACCCTTCTAAGGCACACTCCTACCCCCTACCCCCACCCCTATTCAAACAAACAGAAAACCTCACTGCCTTTAAATTGATACCAACAGTAATGGAGGGGAAAGATTTCTTCTGAAATGCAGATTTATTGATAAGAAGGCCTTAATAGCAGTTTCCTCTTGTGATGGTTGCCATAATAAGCAGGAGGACAATTATAAATATGGGACTTGTTTCTACACATATACCTGAAAGATTCAAGTAGGATTTCATGCTAATTTTTTGTTTGTTTTGTTTACATAACATTAGCCATACTTTTTTTTTTAAGGCTGGTAAAATGTCATCTACAACCAGCACCATTTTATTTATTTGTTTGTTTGTTTTATCTTCCTCTTCACTCAAAGGAACCTTGGTTTCCACAAATTTGTGGATAACAAGTTGGACTACTAACTGGAAGTTTAGGAGTTCAAACCAACGACTTGTTCCATAGGGGAAAGAGGTGTTCTTCTCTCATAATAATATGTACAGCCTTGGACACCCAAAGAACAGTTTTACTCTGCTCTGTAGGGTTGCTAGGAATCTGAATTAACTTGATGAATGTGGGTTTTAGCTTTTTCTCCTTTACCTATGTTCATATGTGTCAACCCTTTTGTTAGACATGCATCTTCCCCTCCTAGTAATCATTACAAAATGTTTCTTAATGTGAAAACCTTTTCTTGACTTTAGATAATAGTGGTCTCATACAATATTTGCTCTTTTTTAATTGTCTTATTTTACTTAGTATAATTTCCTTCAGAGTCATCCATATTATTAGGTATTTAATAGATTCAAATTATTCCATTCTATTGCATATTATGTTGTGTATAAACAACCTAATTTCTATCAGTGCAAGAGTTAATAAACTATGGTACACACACATGTTAGAATACTATCTATACTTCTTCCAAGACAGATTTGTTAATTCTCATGATAGTACATGTTATATTCTTCTCCAAAACCTTAATTATGAATAAAATGCTATGAGCACGTGTACATATTTTTGTATAGATATATGGTTTCCTTTCTTACCCTAGATTGTAAAGTGTTTGTTTAATTATATACGAAACTGCTCAGCTTCAAAAAGCATAGCCACCTAGGCCGAAGCTCTTGGTTCACTCACTCTAAGAGAAAACAGAAACAAGCAAAAAAAAGACAAAAAACATGCATCGGAACCCCCAAAGAATGAAAGGAGCAAGCCAGACACTAACAGGGAAAAATGAGAGAAAGAGCTTGTGCTGGCAGATTAGCAAATGGTAAATTCTCAACCACCCTCTCCGCCAGCATTAAAAGCCCTCTAATTTTCTGGACTGAGAGTTGGAGAAATGGACCACTACCTTGATCCTCATATTCAGCATGTGGACTCAGAAAACACTAATCTGAACCCACAGATGGCAGTGGTACCTCTCTCTCTCTATGTTCCTGGGAGAACAGACTCAAAGGAAAATGGACTTGACTGCACTCTATTACAAAGGAGAAGCTGAGTTAAATCAGCTTCCTCCCACTAGTTTTGAGAACAAAGGACAACCACACTTTGCTCTGTGGCAGCTATGGACACACTGACTTAACACTCAACCTATTTCTGATATTTGGCTTGAACAAAGACACATTCTTAGTCCTACATTAGCAGAAAAAAGGCTGATCTTTTGGGGCATTTCTTTCTTTACATGGACATTCTAGAAGTGGCTACCACAGTCATTGGCCTATATTCTCTGGCTTGGCTACCACAAAGGGTAACAGCTAGGTTGGGGCCCTGGCAAAAACAGCATATGACACTGACTTTGGGTTCTGCTATTTTTTCCTCTTAGGTTTT